TGAATATGTGTGAACAACAAGCAGAAGCCCGCAGCAACATCAATTCAACGAGAAAACAGCAAATATTAGATGGGATTTTGCCCCCCCCCCCCCAACTGAGAAACCGCTCCCATGCTCATATTGAATATTTTCTCTGAGCTGTAGGTCATCATAAGCTTTCATTTCAAACTCGGTTCGATGGCTGAATCGACGGCCCAGAAAGCAGGCCATTTTTGGAGAGCTTCATGGAAAATTTGAGAAATTTTCGGTTCCGATGGGTAATTTCAGGTCTCCAAAATTTACTATGTTGCTAAAATCTGTGGTTTCAGTGTTTGAGTACTTAAAATAACCGTATCAAGAAACTTAGGCATTATAATTATCGAGGAAATTTTGTTATGAGATATAACGGGACTTACCATCGGTAAGTTGCCCCTTTTCGCCGTAAAATACCTTTAAGTCAGTTTTATTTTCCAGGAGCTCGACAGAAAGTTTTTCTCCTTGGCTTAAATGACTCGGTAGACACTCTACTTCATGAATCTGAATCGTTTTTGCTTTTGATTTATCAACAAATTTTAACTCGGTCAGGCAAACCGTGTCGGGAGAATCTTACGTAAAATCGGCGGAATCTCACGATGAGACTCCTTTGAGGGGTGGAAAAGGGCATTTTAAAATTGGTAAGGGAAAGTGTGTTATTTTTCTTGTAAAGCACCCTAAAAAGCGAGTTACCTCAAAAAATTTCAAAGCTGTACCTACATTTTAAAGGGGGGAAAAAAATTCGCGAAATGACGGGAAAACGCGATTGTCCCTTTGAAGTTCCCGCTTGGAGACTTGTCGGCCCTGGCAGCATCACTTAGGATGATTCGATCCAGCTGCAATTTTTCGTACCTTCATTTTACACCAAAAGACAACTTTAAGGGGGGTCAGACATTTGATTTTTGAAAAGTCGAAAAATAAGAACCACCCTAGTGGAGATGTACCACAGAAACAGGGTTTTTTCTACTTTTTCATGCATTGTTTGCTAGGATGAGTGATCAAGTGTGGATGGTAAGAAAAGCCAAGGATTCCTAAAGCGAAATTAGTGGAAACAGAAAGAATTCAGGCGAATTTCGGAGGAGATGCCAAGCTGCAAAAGGATTTGTGGGGAAACAACAGCAAAAAGTTGCGTTTTTTAGCTTTTTCATGCATTTTTTGCTTTAGAGGGCGATTTGACAGAGAAACAGTGAAAGACCGAGGATTTTTATTTCAGATACTGTTAGAGCACATCCTAACGATGATTTTTACCAAAAAAAAAATTAAAATATGTTGTTGGCTCACATGGTTGTGCTCATTTTAAGGGATCAAGGTACTACAGCCAAAAATCAGTGCAAAAAAGGGGTATATTCAACTCGTTTTGTGCTCCAGGGTATGTTAGGTTTAAGCGGGGATTTTTCCCTTCGAATACATACTATCATGGACCAGTGTGCCAAAATTCAGCTTAAAATAATAAAAACTAAAAAAATTGTGAGGCTTTTTCGATGGCAAAATACTGCCGTTTTTGAAATCTGGAGAGTGCATTTTTACGGAAGGCGATGAAACTTCAATAATTTTTTTCTCAAATAGTATTCGACAGATGGAGCTAAAAATTTGTACTTTCTTTTAGGTTGATCTATAGATTAATTAAACAAAATATAAGAAAAATCCAAGTCGGTGGGTGCCTTTTTCCTATTATTTTGGTTGAATTGACATGGAATGACCCAGTAGACCAATTGTAAATCTTTGATAGCGTATCTGCTAGATGAACCAAGCTCACATTGGTTGTATCAAAAAGAGAAAAAAGTCGTCACATCGACCTAAAGAAACCAAGCCTCAAGAATGAATGTAATTTTCTAGGTGTATTTTTAGGGCTAATCTCGAAAATTATGTTGGGTTTTCCGGATCCTCACGGTATGCTTGGATAAATCGGAATCTTGCCTGTACTCCAAAAAAAAATCAAGGTTCACCACAGGAAATTCAGTTACTGAGTAAATAATGGAGGACAGGGGAAAGGAAAGAAGAGCCAATTATCGCATCAACCTGAATGGATCAGTTATCATTTTGTTACCATCTAAATTGATGTTGAATGGTGCGATTCTGGAATGTGACATACGTGTCTTCTTTTCTTTCCCCAATTGGATGTAGGTGATCGTTAGATGCACCTTTTCAGAATCATTGCAAAAAGCCCACCTAGAATCAGTGACAAA